ATTTTCCCAGTTTGAGGGTGTGTAATTGTAACTCAACTGTGGTTTTAATTTGTATTTTCCAGACTACTAGTAAAGCTGAGTATCATTTGATAGTTTTATTGACCACTCAAATGTTTTCTTCTTGTGAACTACCTTGTTTGTATTCTTTACTCTTTTTCCTACTGGCTTGTCTTTTTATTACTGGTGTGTAAGAGTTCTTTATATAGTTTTTATATAAATCCGTTGCTGTTTTGTTTGTTTGTTTTTGGGTTTTTTTTGGAGATAGGGTCTTGCTCTATCACGAGGCTGGAGTACAAGGGTGCAGTCATAGCTTATTGCAACCTCGAACCCCTGGGCTCAAGCAATCCTCCTGCCTCAGCCTCCCAAGTAGCTGGGACTACAGCCACGCACCACCACCATGCCTGGCAAATTTTTTAATTTTTTTGTAGAAATGGGGTCTTGCTCTTGCTCAGGCTGGTCTCAAACTCCTGGCCTCAAGCGATCCTTCCACCTTGGCCTCTCAAAGTGCTGGGATTACAGGTGTGAGCCACTGCGCCCAGCCCCTTGTTGTTCTTAATATTACGACAATCCTTTTTGTTGTTATTAACATCATTACATTTGTTTTCTCAGTTGGTTACTTGTTTTCATGGTATCTTTAATTCTACATATTTCTTATTTTTAATGTACTCAAATAACGTACCATTTTATGTTCTGTGGCTTAAGGAGGCATTTAACAATTTATTAACATATATTTGTTGAGAGTCTATTATGTGTTACACACAGTGGTAGAGCACTGACAATAGAGTGGCAAATGAGACAGATTAAGACTATGCCCTCAAAAAGGTTCATTCTGATGAGGGAACATATATACTCATAAACATTTAATGATGTCAGATAGTAAGTATAATGGAAGAAAACATAAATTTAGACAAGAGAGAAAGTGAGTCACAGCAACATGATCAGGGAAGGCCTCTCTTGAGGAGATGACATTGGAGAATAAAACTGAATGAGGTTTGCTTGACATTCTGTTGTGAAAAAAAAGAAAAGAGAGAGAGAGAGAAAAGAAAGCTGAATGAGGTAAGAAAGTAGTATGAAGATCAGAGAAACAGAGAAAAAAAAAGTTTAAAATGACTCCCCCCCGCATATTTGATGGCATTTAGGAGTTTCTACAAAGTAGTTTAGGAGTGATGGCAGTATTGTGATTAAGGTTTTTCCTAAAGAAACATTATCTTATAGGTCTACACATTGACATATCTACAGATGAAAAGATGTGACATCTTGCTTCAAAATAATATTGGAAGAGGAAGTAGGTGGCAGTAGAAATGGAAAAAAATTGTCCATGATTTGCTAGTTGTTGAAGCTGGGTGATGGGTACAAAGGGATTCATTATATTATTCTGTCTCTTTTTGAATGTTTGGAAAATTTCCATAATAATAAAAGTAAAAAGAAAGTAAGGCCTCTAGGTTTTATCTAAGCAACCAAGTGAAAGTAGTGCCATTTACTGAGATGGGGAAGAGCAGGTTGTTTTTGGTTTCAGGTATCTTGGGGATGGAGGTGATTAATCAAGAGTTCTACCTTAAACTTACTGAGTTTGGGCTATCTCCTAGACTGCTACATAACTGACTGACCTTATCAGGAACCAGCCCTTCCAAAAGGCTGGATGTAAGCTGACAAAAGTCTTCACTAGGCTTGTAAATTAACATTTATTGAACAAACAAATGAACGATCATACAGCCTTTCTAACTGATTTCCCTTTCTGTCTAAGTACCTCTAAACGCTTCCCAGGAAATCCTGCCCTATCTTGGACTCTGAGTTAGCTGTGATCCCAGATGCCTGATCATGCTAACATTCTTGCATTGTAGTACAGTTGTCTAAGGTCTCTTTTCCATTAATTAGTCCCTACCAATATCGAGTTCTGGGGGAAAAAAAATCACACCCTTCTGTTTTTTTTTGAGTGATTGCTCTAGAAAGGAACAGATTAGCTTTTCTCTACCTCAGCTCAGAGTCCCAACTATGATGTTGGTTGACAGAGGAAGAGTTGAACTTAAGTTTTAAAATGCAAATGACAGTGTTTTCTCTGGTACTAAAGATTCTCCAGAAAATCTATTTCAACTGGGTATTTGGGTATTTTGTATAGGTATCACAAAAATGACTGATGACTATTTTCTCAATTTTCCTAAGGTACCGTCATAGATACACACACAGAAATGACGTTAATTCATTATATTCAGTGAATGCCTTAGGACATTATGGGTTCTCTCCCAGAACGCCAACTGAGAAGGGCACTCTGAAATATACATAAGGAACAAAAATTATTTATTGGCATAAGGGAGGGTGAACAGGGATGGAGAACCTTTTCATGTTGGAGGGCTGCATTAATCTAGCTATAATCAACAAATAAGGCCACATTCAAGAAACTTCAATTAGATATACTTAAAAATGTACATTATTTTGTAAAAATATAACTACCATGTACTTAATAATTTCAAAAAATAAAAACTATTTGTTAATTTTAAAGTTAACTAATCTTTTAATGATTTTGTTATGTCTGTTTTTTGTTGGAAAGCATTTGAATATTTGGTTGCAGCGCAGAGGTCCGCAGTTTCAGCTGATACTTGCATTTTAGAAAACAAATTCCTCTGACATCTAAAACCTTAGACTTGTTGTTCAATATACTTTGTAGCAGTGTAGTTTTGGTGGAGAAAAATTCAGCCAGCCACCCTAATTCTGGTTCATGTCAGAGGGCTAAGTTTTAGTTTCCAGCACACACAGTGAGAACTTTGTCTTTATTGCCATCTGATTCTCTCTGACAAGAGATATCTGGTGTGCCTCAATATACAAGTCTCTCCTTTTGAGGGTACATACTGATACATGAGATTTGGCTATCAAGAGCTATTTCCAGTTAGTCAATGTACCCTCTTGTTGACACAATGATCACAGAAGGCCTGAATCCCAGGATTGGGAACGACTCCACAGAAGACCTGGACTAGGTAGACTGCTTCCCTATAACACCTCCAGGAACCTTAACTAAAGGCAAAAACAGTTAGTTCAACATATTGATGACACAACTTTTCACATTCTTGGAGTAATCTCAAAATAACACTGTTGGCCTAGTATTGTAATTCAAAGTAACAAAGTCAAACCATGAACACTCATGTTCACAGGTTACACTTTAATATTCAGATATATAACATCAAATAAGTCAATTAGTTACCTAGGTTGCCCATTTTCTAAATATCTTGATGGAATAATTTAGTTGGTGAAATAGTTCTGCACAAAAATTAGATACTGAAAAAGTCCTAAGGTAGATATGAAAGTTTAGTAGTTTTTTTCTTCAAAATAGTCTAGGTCAGGCTTTCTCTTGTTCATGTTTTAAAGCAGCAGACCCCAACCTCTTTGGGACCAGGGACAGGTTTCATGGAAGACAATTTTTCCATGGGCTGGGGTGAGGGGTGGGAGGGATATGGTTTCAGGATGATTCAAGCGCATTACATTCATTACATTTGCAGCCACTCCCCAGCACTAGCATCACTGCCTCAGCTCCACCTCAGATCATCAGGCATTAGATTCTCATTAGGAGCATGCAACTTAGATCCCTCGCATGTGCTGTTTACAGTAGGGTTTGTGCTCCTATGAGAATCTGATGCCAGGCCACTGACCTGACAGGAGGCGGAGCTTATGTGGTGATGGGAGAAACGGGGAGCGGCTGTAAATACAGATGAAGCTTCTTCGCTAGCTCACCTGCTGCCGTGCAGCCCAGTCCTAACAGGCTGCAGACTGGTACCAGTTCATGGCCCGGGGGTTGGGGACCACAGCTTTGTAGCAATGAACTTTGGAGGTTCACTTGTATTTCTACTTGGAAATCCTTGGAAATCTCAGATGCTTTCTGAGAAAACTAGGAGGTGTTTCTGTAGCCGGTACTTTTGTGACCCATTATAACTCAATTCTTGAACCACTATCTTTGCAATCTAAAAGCCTGGCATTTATAGCATGAAAATTTCCTTTCATCCAGCCTGGGAGATAGAACAAGATCCCATTTCTAAAAATAAAAATTTCCTTTCATTCACATTATAGAATATCTACTCTCTAAAATCTTCTAGCCTAGACAACATAGCAAGACCTTGTCTCTAAAAAAAAAAAAAAAAAAAAAGTTGGGTGTGGTGTCATGCACCTGTAGTCCCAGCTACTCAGGAAGCCGAGGTGGGAGATGCCCAGAGTTTGAGGCTGCAGTGAGCCATGACTGCACCACTGCACCCCAGCCTAGGTGACAGAGTAAAACCTTTTCTCTAAAAGAAAATTAAAAAATGAAAACTTGTTAGCAATCTTAAATTATCTGTCAGATAAGAAATAGTTAATAGCTCATCAACTCTGCCCTATGATTAAGTGCAAGATCAATAGATAGTAAAGTAACTAGACTGATGGGTCTCAAAAGTGTAGTCCCTGGACCAAAGCAACATCAACATCACTGGTATCTTGATAGAAATGCACATTCTCGGGTTCCACCCTAGACCTGCTAAGTTAGAAATTCTGAGAATGGGCTCACCAATCTGTGTTTTACAAAACCTCCAGGTGATTATGATGTCTGCTAAAGTTTGAGCACCACTGATCTCATACACATAAAAGAAGTCCCTCTACAGAATATCTTTTGAAAAGATTTAAGTTTAACTTTTGCTTTTTGCATTCATTGAAGACTATTTTTTTTTAACTGCTAATGGAAAGCATCTGTTATATTAGTTCATATCCCATAAAGTTTCACATCACAAACTTCCACAAACTTTAAGGCTAAGAAAAAAGTGTGTTTTTCCTAATGAATAATACACTCCCTCCCAAACAATGAGTTTTACATTTCTATTTCTGAAAGCAGTTAAGAATCTCAAAACCAATTAATCTGTGTTTAATTACAATAGCCTGCTCAGTAAGAATTTTGGAAGGTAGATCTACTTTCTTCCTCCCCACTTCCCTAACTATTTGGGGATTTTAATTTAGCAATTATTTTGATAAAAAATGTTCATTGTGGAAAACTAGAAATATATAAAAAAGCAGGTGTTACTCATAATCCCATCATACCCAGAGACAACAGCATTTTTTGGCTTAGTAAGGAACTTTTAAAAAGCTATACTATATATTTTGAATCCTTATAAATGTGAAGATAAATATCTGTTTTAACGCTACTTACTCTATTTTAATGATCAATTCTTATTTCATGAACCATACCATTTTCATTACTAAAATTTTATCATTTATTTTAGTATGATTGGATGAAGTCTACTTTTACACATTAGTTTTTTGAAAAACATGTTAGTTATTTTTGCCAATATATTAATATTTTTCAAGATATTTTTCAAATCATTTTTCCAAGTTACAAAAAAATTTGAATGGAATTTAACTAAGTCTGTACATTAATTTGAAATGAGCTGACATTTTTAAATGTCTTCGAAATTACAGTACCCTTCTCTTAACCTAGTTTTTCTTTATACTTTGTTATAATTTTGTAGTTTTTTTTCTTGCAGTCCTACATGTTTCTTGTTAACACTATTCCTAGGCAGTTTATTCATATTAAATACTTTGCTATTATAGAAGGGACTTTTTTCCATTATATTTTAAATGAGCTTAATGGTTAAGACAGCTCCAAGTTATAAGAGAGTTAACTTGCTAGAGAAAATAAACACTTATTGGCATGTACCATTTTGAGAGTGTAAGAAATGTACATGGGTCTA